CCGGTGAGTTTAGGGGGGAAAAGAGAAGAGTCGTAGGCGAACAAACATTCAGATATGGTCAGGACAGTACTTAGGAAGTCATTGTCTTTGGTTCCATAAAATCGTTTAATCCTTTCCTTTTGCCCCAGAACTAATGCATTTGCCCCTTTTTCCAGTCAGCTGCAGTTGAAAGTTTGGGGAGCTTTGCAGTGCTGATGAAAGTATAGTGAGGTCTGTGTCTCAGGAATAAATAATTTCAGTTCTCAGTTTTAGTCCCCAGGCTTGTCTTCTGACCCAGTAGGTGCTGTCACTTGGAAGCAAAATGTGCATATCTGTTCTAGAAGTACTACTACTAAGTATGGGAAAAATAAGACAATATCTACTTTCTTCAGAAGGCATACATTAAGACTCATAGCAGGGGTAGAATAAAAGTAACATGAATTGTCCATATCTACTGAGAAACCAGTGAAAATGTAGAGGGGGACACGTTTCTTATCCCAAAACCTGAGTTGGTTTCTTTGGAAATGGTACTTGCAGGTATCTAGAGAGTTTGGGGGTGTTTCAGTGACAATTTAATTTTTAATTAAAATTTCAGTTTCATAGAACTGGAAGGGACTTTAGAACTGTTGTGGTCTAGCTGATAAGGTGTTATCCCTGTTTCATAGGTGAGATAACAGAAAGTCAAAGAGGTTGTAAGGTGTGGGGGAGAAGCAGAGCTCAGGGCTCAGTGCAGTGCTCTGGCTACCATAGCATTTAGAGTTTATGAAAAACAGAAACTTCAGTCTTAGCGTATTTGCATTAGAAGACTGGCCCCATCCTCATCATTTTACAGAGGAAGGTCTGGAGAAATGAAGTGAGATCATACGCTTAGTTACTGGCAAAACAAGCTGTAGAGTCTAAGTCTCACAATTTGTAATCCAGTGTTCATTCATCTGTACCATGTGGGCAACATAAGTTAAGTGATCATACTTACCAAATTAAGTAAAGTCTTCCCAAAAAGTCATGTGAATTCAGAAACCAGGTACTTTTTCCTTAGGATTGAAAGGGGACCACTAAGTTGAAGGGAAGAAAAAAATCATGTGATAGGAGAACAGATCATAATTTAGGATGATCAGTTCTTCCCTTCCCACCCTATCATAGCTGGTGACTGAGCAATTGATAGAATCAAATGTGGTTGGTTCAGGTTTGACAACTACATTGGATTGGTGTGTTATGTTCCATTCTGTAGATTGCTTGTCAGTTACTTGTTGTTATTGTGACTAAAAGAAAAAATGGTTTTATTTTGTAGTATTGTATATGTAGACTCTTGTCTGTTTTTTCTTACCTCCAAATGGTGCTTGCTGATTGCTTGAGTGCTTTGAGAATGAATGTTAAGGAAAGAGGTATAGTATAAGGTGTTATTTAATAGCCAGTCATTCTTCCAAGTTTGGGCATTCAAGAATGGTGTTATCCTCTCTGTTCAGGACCATTTCAGACAGAAGTGGCAGAAAATAAATAGCTTCATTCAAAAAGGAATTCCTGCTAATTATACCCCAGTAGATAGAGTACAGTTCTTGTTATCAAGTTGGCAGGAAGATTTTTAAACAGGTGAATGGGAAAGATCCAAGTGCCAAGGAGCTGGCTTCTTAGCAGTTTTAGTATGTGTGTTTATGTGTAGACATAGAGGTTTTTAAACTGTGAGGTTGTAAAACGTTTCTATAGGCTTAGAAATACTAACGTGAAACCTTAGTGCCACCTAGTGTCCAAAGTCTTCGCTGCCATACTCCCCTCTATACTCTTCCTCCTCCCATTTTCTGGCTTATGAGATGCGTTCATCTGCCGTATAGAGTTACTGCTTTGCATACAAAACAAGTCGCATTTGTTGGTTACCTCATAGCCTTGAACAAGAGCTGCTCTTGTGCTTTTGTGTCAGATGCCAGTAGTGACATTACTGTTGGAAGGGAAAAGTAATTTGTTTGCCCAGCTTGAGAAAAATATAGGTTTTGCCACAGATTTATTGCCTCCCTTGCTTCAGGCTTGAAACAGCCGTGTGTGTGTGTGTGTGTGTGTGTGTGTGTGTGTGTGTATTTTTCTAAATTGATTTTTTTTCCCTTCTTTTCTGAAAATGGAAGCTTACCTTTGAGAATCTGTTTCCTATTAATCAGAAACAGCATTTCAAATTTCTTTTTTTAAGGACAGGATTAAGTGATTCTGATTTTCTCTTTTAAAAAAAGTTTTATTGATGCCATTTTTTTTATACTATAGTCATTTTCCTATGTATTCCTTCTCCCCTTCCCCTGCCTCTTCTTCTGAACACAAAATAGAATCCTCCCTTGTAACAGAAACAGTTAAGGAAAATGATATAGCAACTGCATCTAACATGGTAAATACATCTTTTAAAGCTGAATTGATTTCTTGAACGTCAGGCATGTAGAGGGGGTAGATATGACCATTATTTACTCCATGCACCCTGCCTGAGTTAGATAGTTTTCTTATATTTGAGTTGATAGTCCATTTAGATGTGTTCTTTCCCTAAGTTCAGACTTAATGAAATCATTTTACTGTTTTTTTAAAGAGGTATATGGCCCATCTGTCTTCCTTTCACTGCTTCTCAATAAATTAGCACTAAGACCTTCAGTAAGTTCCTTAACTTTTCTCAGCTTCCTCATCTGTAAAATGAGAAGATTGGATTAGATCATTGATGCCGAGGGCCAAATCCGTGGTAAGGCTTTATTTAAAAATGTAAAAACCATTCTTAGCCTGGAAGGGTAGAGGGGAGTACAAGCACAGGCAGTAATTTGCTGACTGCTGGATTAGATGATTTCAGAGGTCCCTTCTAGCTCTAATATTTTGTGGAGCTATCAATGAACGAATGAAAAAGCGTCATGCTGAAATGCTAGGGATACAGATAGAGGAGTGGCACAGTCTTTGCTCTCAAGAGCACACAGTAAGCTGCAGGGTATGTGGAAAAATGCAGCAGAAAGATGGAATAAAGGTTATATGGTGAATTTGTTAATTAAAAATTAGAGGGTAAGGCGTAGCCTATAGACAATTTTATGAAAAAAGTGCAAAAATTTGATAGCAATGGAATTGGGAAGTTATGGAACCTTCTTGTTATTTTTCGTTCCTTCAGTGAAGCTTAGACAATTGCTAATATACTTCAGCTGATCCCTTTTCCAAATATGTTGCTTTGGTAGGAGTGACTGTTGTGATTTTTAGAAATTGCAGTAGAAATTTACCAGGTGCTAACTAATTTTAGTCCCTTATGACAAGTTGTATAAGATGTAATTTAAGATTCTTCACCTCAAATACTTTTCGGTTTTTCACTTTTTTGATATAATTAATGATGTTGTTAAGGTATAGGACGGGTCCTACTTTCAACTTATTTGCACATGTAATAGTTAAGCAGTGCCTGTTTTTAATTGAAATTGGTCTGGATTTTAAAGTCATTCCATCTTCACTGACTGAGTCACAAAGAGTAAAGTGACTTATTGGCATTTTCCCAATGCATTAATGACTAGGTGGAAATTGGAAACTAAATCTTCCTAGCTCTATTCCTTCGTTTTGAAGCCCAAGGAATTGTTTTAATGTCTATTATATTTGTTGTAGTTGAACTTTCAGTACGTGTGTGGGTATTTTTGAAACATTTTTGTTCTCCCTCAAGTCTGTGGATTAAAAAGCAACCTTGTTTTTTACTGCTATTCCCTCTAGTCCTCCCTGGTGGTTAGCAAGGTTGCTTGAGATCAGTTTGGGTGTTGGGCCTTTTGTACTAATTCCTTAAGGAAGAAACTTTCCCTTTATAGTTGTCCCCACAGGACAGTTCATCAGCATAATCCTCTGTTTCTGTTTCTTGACATTCTCAGTTTGCTGCAAGAAATGAGCAATCTAAAATTTCCATTGGATCTTATTTATCAAACTTTAACTTAGTTTATTGGTCCTTCATAAACTAAGACTGGTGTTATATCATAGTGGAATGTCTCAGATCGAAGTGACTCTAGCTGGGTTTCTGTCCATAGTATACAACTCTCTGATTTCAGAAACTATATTACTTATGGTATGTGGTATAAGATGGATAGGTATGCTGCTGTAGGTTCTGAGGATGGGAACAGTTGATGATGTACTAATGGACCATGAATTTTCATAAGTTTGACGTGCTTTTTGACATGTGGGAAAAAACCACAGTTAGTTTGGAACTTTAAAGACCCATAGACTCTAGGAAACTTTGAATATTTGAAATGAAGAACTCAATTTATCACCACACATAGCCACTGTACTCTTGTCAGAAGTACTATGGGATGGGTAAAGAACATTTTAAAACTTGTGTTTCAGTGGAGCAGTTTTTCCTTGGCTTGCTTTTTAGCTGTCTCCTTTTTTTTTTTGTAAAATCCTGAATTAATAGCACTGAATTAAAATTTGCCCATCATATTGGTGGCCCAAAGTTATTTAAAAATAGTTTTGAATAATGAAGTCTTCTTCACAAGTAAACATTTTATTAATCCATCTACCTTCTAAAGTGTATTATATTTTAGCTATTATTATTTACTTCTTATTAATTATAATAATCAGTAGCTGATCACATTTTAAGTTTTGCAAATCACTTTACTAAATAGATTATCTTCTTTTAAATAGATAGTTCTATTAAGATTGTCCACTGAAGACAATCTTGTGGGGTAAGTATTATAGATATTATTGTATCTATTTTATACCTTGACACTCTCGGTCTTAGAATCCATTATTGCTTAGTTGTGCGTTATCTTAAACAGTACAGTGTAGTGAAAAGAGCACTGCATCTGGGAGGAAGAGATGTGGGTTCCATCCCCAACTATTGCTGTTAAGGGATCACGGGCAAGTCACTTCCCTCTCTGAGACTCAGTGTTTTCATCAGTAAAATGAGTGGTTGAATGAATTTTAATCTCTAACATCCCTTTAAGTGCTAACATTCTATCGTTCTGTGTGCCTGAATTTACTGGCTCTATCTGTTTACTCGTGTTTTAGACTTATTCTCTCTATCTAGAGTCATAGCTCATCTTCTTTTCTTTCAGACTAGAGCAGCCCTACTTCAGTGCGAATGCTCAATTCTTCCAGGCTCTGAGTCATTGCTCTTCCCTTCAGCGCCTCTGTATCATCTCCCGAAGTGGTACTCTGCAGGCAGATGCTGTGATGTCATTCATGGGCAGCTGCCTTGGGCTCGTCATGTGCCACATGTTTACAGGAGAGTCCCTCACCGCCTGCAAGAATCTTCAGCAGTCCATTGTTCGAAGGTGAGACTGAGAAGTTCTAGAGGAGGATGTTTGTCCCTGTGAAGCCACGTGTTTGTGCTCACACCATTTGTGTTCTCTAATGATGTGAGCATTCAGGATGAACATGTCTGTAAAGAGTATCGATTGACTTTCTCAAGGTTTTTGACCAGCATATCAGTTATACTTAGATAAAAATATTCAGATGGTGATTTAATACAAACAGAGAGCTTGTTCTTGGTATCACTTCAGTTACACTTCATTTATCTGACATTGTTGGTGAATGTAATGTGCCTTGTAAATGAATTTTCTAGGTAACTGATGCTTATCCCTTTAAGTGTCAAATTTTTAAAACATCACTTTTTTAAAAATTAAAATCTTTTTTAAATTACATACTTGCCTGTGTTTCAAAACAGATAGACCAAACATGATTTAGCCCTTTCTTAACTACATAGTGTCATTATTAGGAAAATTATTATACTATTATCCATTGCCTTTAGAAGTTATCAAGGTATGTAACACTGTTTGCCCCTACTGCTATGCTTCTTGAGTTCTTATGTCTGCTTTTTATAGTTTTTGTGACTTCTCCTCATTGTACCTGATTCTTAGCTTTAAATTTATAGCTTCTAATGTGCTCCACAAAAAATACTATTTAGATGCTTCATGGTGGCATGGATGACCTGGGCTTCTTGAAGGATATGTCAGTGGAATGCAAGGGTTCTAGCATGCTGAGAATGTTTTGATTGTAGTCCTAGTATAAGGCTGTATCTGCTGTCAAGAGACCAGCCTGACTAAATATGGAGAGGCTTATCACTAGAAGACTGGCCATTAGCTGATGAGTTGTTTTGCCATGGCAACCCATGAAACAAAGGAAAATACAAAACAACCGTCAATTCTGCTTGGTCCCCTTATACTTCAAGAGTGACAGTGTCAGAGTGGTTGAAAAGGATGCAGAGATTGCTAAGAATTACATAGTTCTTAGATCATTTATGAGCACTAATCTAACTTTGTAGTCTAGACGAAAGATCCTTGTCCAGTGATAAAGGTTGAACATACGTTTGGAGGAACTGGATTATGTCAATACTGACATTTTCACTGTAAATGAAACTCGAAGAAAGAAGTTGTAACAAAATGGAATGACGACTCACAGGCCTTCCTTAAAGAGGCAAATAAAGGAATTTGCAGAGTTAATTTTATCATGTGTCTGAAGTTAACAAGAAACATGATTTAATGGTCATCTTTCTTGTAGTGTCCTTGATGAGCATAAATGAAAAAACCACCTTGAAGACTGTTGCAGTTTATGTGTCAACAGGTAGAGGAATCATTCCTAAGTAAAACTTAATAAGACTTACCAAATTTAATCTGAATATAAATATGAAGATAAGTATAATAGAGGACGTGGAAAAAATGTTGGAAAATATGTCTCAGGTGCAAGAAATAAAAGTGACCAAATGTTTGTAGACTGCCTGAAGCCTCATACCTAATTATTATGAATATTTCAAGAAGATAGAAGACACTGGACATGGTGATATTGAATAACATCACAAAAAATGAAATTGACTGTTTTAACAGATAGAAAAAACTAATTACCACTTTGGGGAATCATTTCTGAATCTTCTATGTCTAATTAAACTATCAACTTGAGAGCAAAATCAGGACTAAATTATAAGAAAGATGAGAAGAGGAAATCTGTGATTAAAATAGCTCTGTTTTAACTTGATAAGCTTTTGACTTTAAAAATATGAAAATTGCATTAAGGAACAAATATCAACACAAGCTATGATCATTTGCTATGGAATTTCAGTCTATCAAAGCCATTGGCACAACAGTAGATATAAACTCCATGGGATCAGGAATTATTTCATTCTTGTCCCATCCTATAACAGTACTTGTTGTAATAGGTGCTTAATAAGTACTTGTTGATTGATTGAACAAGAAGTCCCAAAGATCCTAGAAACGGCTTTTTGACTTGTAAATACTTTATTTCTGGGTTAAACAGAAAAGGATAGAAAATGACAGTGCTCATTTAGAATATGAATTTAGTTTCAAAAACAAAAACAATAGAAGATTAGGAACATTATCACCTCATAAACCAGTGGAAATAAGCTTGGCTGGAAAACCAGTTAAGTCAGATCATACCAAAAAACAATTAAGGATGAAACAAAAAGGACAACAAATAGATGAAAAGTGGAAAAGATATGTCTGGATATTTTTAACAAATTATTTTCTTCATTAATTACTGTGAATCTCCATGTTTGAACTCAATATCCATGTCACCTGTGCACCAAATGAAGAAGTAGAAATGATACTTAAAAAAAAAAAAGAAAGAACAGCAGACTGGACCAAGTATGAGTAGAAGAGTCCTCAGCTAGAGGCAGCAGTTTTGAGCGCATTGAAGCGTCAGTTGTCCATGTATCCAAAAGAAGAGGGCAAGACACAAAAAGATTCAGAAAAACATACATGCAGTTATGAGTAAATCTGTAACTGCTGATCTATATGTCTAGTACTTTATCATCATTGTATCTTCACTTGAATGAATAATATCGATATCATCCTGAATTAAAAAAGGGAAAAAATTATGCTTTTGCAAACAGTATTTTATAGAAGACCACGTCCTTATAGCTACACAGTTGATTGAAAGGCACAGAACAGAAGATCTATTACCCAGTTTATCATTTGACTCTAAAAAAGCATTTGATGTGGTAGAGTAAACTTTAGCTTTAAAGCCTGTCCAGCAAGGTGTCTACCATGTATATGTAAAGATCATACCTTGACCCAATGATTCTACTACTGAGCCTGTACTATTTTTTAAAAAATTAATTAATTTATTTTTAGTTTTCAACATTCACTTTTATATGATTTTGAGTTCTAAATTTCACCCCCTTCCTCCACTCCCCCTCCCCAAGATGGCATGCAATCTGATATAGGCTATACGTGTATGATCATATTAAACATGTTTCCATATTAGTTATGTGAAAGAATCAGAGCAAAAGGGAAAAACCATGAGAAAGGAAAACAAAGAACAACAAGAGAAAGAGAAAATAATATGCTTCAATATGCATTCAGACTCTGCAGTTCTTTCTCTGGATGTGGATAGCATTTTCCATCATGAATCTTTTGAAATTATCTTAGCTGCGCCTGTACTCTTAAGGAAATAAAACAGGCAGGCCACATATATAGGGAAATACTCATACCAACACTTTTTGTTGTAGCAAAAACTTGGCAAGAAAGTGGGTGCCCATCAGTTGGGTAATGATTGAACAAATTGTGATATGTTAATGTAATGGAATGTTATTGTACCATAAGAAATTACAAATATGGGAAATTCAGAAAAAAATGGGAAGACTTATGTCAAAGAGTGACACAAAAATATACATGACTATATATGGTGTATATGGTAGTTATATATTGTATAATACTACATGGTAATATATATAGTAATTTAAGTGAAAAGAGTACTAAATACTTTAAGTAATTGTAGTGAACAGTTTTGGTTCCAGAGAACAGATAATGAGACATGGCTTGGCAGAAGGAGGACTATGGATGCATAATCAGACAGTCAGTCAGAATGCTATTTTTTTGGAGACTGAGTCTCTCCATCTAGCCCAGGCTGGAATAGCGTGATCACTCACAGGCCCAATCTCAATTCTAATCTGCACAGAAACTTTAACCTACTCTGTTTTTCTGACCTGGACTGGTTTACTCCTCCTCAGGCAGCCTGGTGTGTCTCTACTTCCAGGGGCTTGCCATGTTGATTCCAGACGTGATCACCTCTAGCCCTGCTGCATCTCAGAAGTCCTGAACTCAAGCAATCCACCAGCCTCAGCCTGCCCAGTAGCAGGGACTGCAGGTGTGTCCCATCACACCTGGCCAAAATAAGTGTGTATTAAATGCTTACTGTATGCCAGCCATTGTGCTAAACACAGGGGATACAAAGAAAGAGCAAAAACAGTCCTTGGACTCAACAAGCTTCTAAAGGGAGAGACACCATGGAGATACATACAGAGTAGAAAGAAGGCAGCCTCAGAAGGAAAAGCATTAGCAGCTGAAGAACTGGGCAAGGCCTCCTGCAGGAGACGACACTTGAACTGAATCTGAAGGAAGTAGGGGATCCAAAGAGGTGAAGGTTAGGAGGGAGAGCATTTCAGGCACGGGGGATGGCCAGTGTGAGGCATGGCGTGTTGTGTGAAGAACAGACAGTAGGCCGGCATAGCCACATTGTGGAGTGTGTGCAGGGGAGTAATATGGAAGCAGATTAGAAAGATAGGAAGAAGCCAGTTTGTGAAGAGTTTTAAATGCCAAATGGAAGATTATATTTTATCTTAGACCTAACAGAGAGCCCTTGGAGTTTATTGAACAAGGAGGTGATGTGGAAAATCACTTTGGCAATTGAGTGGAGAATGGATCGGAGTATAGAGAGTCTTAAGGCAGGTGCCTGGGATATTTTAGTAGTCCAGGTAAGAGGTAATGAGGGCTTGAACTAGAGAGGTAGCTGTAAGTGGAGAGAAGGGGACATAGAATGTATGTGAGAAATATCGTGGGGAAAGAAATTATAAGATTTGGTGATGGATTGGATATGCATGGTCACAGTATGAAATAAGGCTAAAAAGGTAGGTTGGAATCTGGTTGTGGAAGGCCTTCAATACTGTAGAGTTTGTGTTTTATCCTACAAGCAAGAGGTCACCACTGAAGGTTATCAAGCGAGAAAGTAACATGGTCAGACCTGTGTATCACAAAGATTATTTTGGTACTTCTGTGGTAGCTGAATTGGAGAAAGGAAAAACTGGAAGCAGGGAGACCAGCTAAGTAGTCCAGGTAAAACGTAGTGAGGCTCTGGATCATAGAATTAGAGAGCTGCAATCACCATTAGACCCAGGCATCATCGGTTGTTTTCATTTAACTTTTTCTTACTTATAAGGGAAGGTTTGATTGGGGGGTGAGGGGTGAGGAGAGAAGAGTGTATCTGGAAATGACTAATGGTAAAGCAAAAGGCACCAATAAAACTTATTTTTAATAAAGGTCGT